CGTGGCCTTTGCCATTTCCTGGACACAAAAATTTTAAGACCTGTTTTCACTGAATGAAGGAATTCGGCAGCATAAGGAAGACTTCAGATACTCCTTAGCAAATGCACTGGCAACCAGTGCTGTTTCGCTATTTCTGATTTCAGAAGCCAATCTCGAAAACTGTTTTGTTTTTATTTTGAGACAGGTTCTCGCTATATACTATATAGCCCAGATGGCCCCGGAATTTGTATGTAGCCCAGGCTAGCCTCCAATTCATATTTATATTTTCCAAGTCCCCAGATGTAATATTTGGGGTTTATCTCAGTGATAATACTTTCTGAGAATGCTGAGGCCTGGGTTTGATGCCCAGAGCTATCAGAGGTGGGGGGAGGGGTAGAAGAGAAGGAGAGAAGAGACCGATTGCATCAGATTTGGAGGTGTTTTATTCCTGTGTATGCAGGTGTGTGTCTGTGCTGATGGAGGCCAGAAACTGCCATTGGGATCTTCCCCAGGTGTTTGCCATCTTACTTTTTGAGACAGGCCTCACCCTACAACAGGAGCTCGCCAATTTTGCTAGACTTACTGATCAATGAGTTCCAGGGATTCCCCCTGCAGTCTCTCCCCAGCGCTGAGACGACAAGTGTTTGCTACTGGGTTCGGCTATTTTTATGTGGGTTCTGGGGGAACAAACCGAAGGGTTTAGTTACTCTTCTCTTACTGTGATAAAATACCATGACAACTTATAAAAAGATAACTTATACAAACTTTCAAAAAAAAAAGATGACAAGGTAACCTATAAAAATATGAGTTTAATTTGTGGCTTAGGGTTTCAGAGAGCTGCAACCACGATGGCAGAGCAAAGGCATGTTAGGAACAACACACTAAGAATGGCGCAAGTCCTTTGAAGCCTCAAAGACCTCCTCTACTGACACACCCCCTCCAACAAGGCCACACCTCCTAATCTTTCCCAAACAGTTCCACCAAATGGGGACCAAGCATTCAAACACATATGGAAACCATTTCATTCACACCACCACACCAGGTTCCCACGATTGCATACCAAGTACCTGACCACTAAGGCATCTCCCCAACCCACAATCTTAATCATTCTTTCACGTCAAAACCAGTATCAGAAAAACGGTGGTAGCAGAGGTAATGGGGTACGGAAGGTACAGTGCTTCCGTTCCGATCTTTACAAATATTAAAGATGGCCAATACAAAGGCCTGGTTGCTAAGCAGCGTCTCTAAATTTCGAAGGGGCTGTTCACCTTGGAAAAGCACTGGATTAAAACTGAGTGTGAAGCTAGCGTGGGCAGGCAAGGCACTTAGTACATATTCTAATGACCTGAGTCTGATCCCCAAAAGTAAAAGGTCAAATCTATCCATAAAGTTGCCCTCTGACCTTCACACTTAAAGGTGCACACACATACAAATCATAAATAAAATACTGTACTTTGGTGTTTTTTTTTAAAATTTATTAATTTTTATTTTATGTCTGTCATTTGCCTGTGTATATGTAAGTGTTCCACATGTGTGCTGGTGCCAGTGGAGGCCAGGAGAGGGCATCAGATCCTCTGAAATCAACCGATTTCAGGCAGTTGGAAACCGCTTGGGGGATGAGGAGAATTGAACCGAGGCCTTCTGCAAGAGTAGTCAGCACTCTTAACTGCTGAGTCGTCTCTCCAGTTCTCTTCAAATGACGTTAAGGTTTTTTAAAAACTGAGTTGAGTCCAAAGAAGTCAAGGAAGCATACATGAGGACTGTCCCTAGCACGTTGAGCTGTCCTAACCAGAAGCACTTTCAAAAGGCCTTTTCTTTGTCCCTGTGTGATTCCTTCCTGGTCCCAGGACCCGATTTTTCAGACTCCAGCTGTAGCCCTCTGTGGCTCAGAACGGAGCTGCTATGCGGTTGGTACTGTCATCCTCTTCTGCACCTAGGCCAGCTCTCTAAACCTCCGCGATCACTGGGCTGGTTTCCCTGGCCCTCTGGCATCATCAGGGGGAGAGAGGCACGCACGAGGCTTTGGGACACTAAGTCTTCATATCAGCCGCCTCCTCCGGCCCTCCCCCTTGGTAAACCTTGATGGTGGCTTTGTTCTCTTTTTCTCAAGCACGACAAACAAGTGGTTTTTCTTTATCACCTTAATAGTTTCCTCAACAAAGCAGGTAGTTTAGGGCTTTCTCTGGGGCTGATAGGTGTTTCGGCTTAATGAGGTTTTTATTATACTGTATTGGTTTCCCTGAAAAGAAATTATGAGCAGCCAACAGCTGATAATAGAACAAGACTGGAAGAAACAATAACCAAAAGAGGCGAACATTAATGCAGCGGCAGATGCATTCGCGGTAGCTGGGGGATTAAACACTACCTCCTTTCTCCCTTGGCCACCATTGTGCTAGCAAAAAAGGTGAGAGTGGGCACTCCTGTGCCAGTTCTGTGTGTGCAACAGACACGACTATAGACACAGACTCAGCTAAACCACCATCTGCGGGGAAGGAAGGGTGGAGAGCCCAGTCTAGACAAAGATGAGGGACGCTCAGAGTGCCCGGGTTTACAAGGGTTGGTCGGTTACCATGGGAACTAATTGGAGCTAATAAGTAAAGGGAGGTTTTAACTGTGGGAACAGAATAGGAGGGGCCACTCTTCGATATCACCGTTACCTATTAATCTTTCATTTCAGGAGTGTCCTGCCTCAGTTTCTAAGATGAAGCAATTCATTCCCCACGGAGCTTCACCCTGCTCCTGCTGACTCTAAAATGCTGGATATCACCTTTGAAAATGCAATGTATTTTAAGTTTAGGTCTTTCAAGACAGAATCAATTTCACATTTTCCCCCCCTTTAAAAAAAATAAACTGTTTGCAGATGGCAAGGAGAAAGGCAGGGAAGTCATGGAAAATTCTTAACTTCTCAGACTGACACTCCACCATGCAGGGAAGCAGGCGTCAGGGAGAGTGGGAGCTGGGACTGCAGCCTGCAGCACCAGCATCAGGTCGGGGTTTGAGTTAGTTTTCCCTAACAAAAGCATTTCAGAGAAATGTGTCTTTGTGAACTCATTTTACAATCCACCTGAAGGGCAGCACACCCACCCAGCCACTGCGCAGAACGCCAAGCAAGCAAGGGCCGGGATCTATGGCACCCTTGTACTTTAGTTTAAAACAAGTATTAAACAGGACGGATAGCTGAAATGATCAATAAAAGAGAAGTAATGACTGAGATTTAATGAAAAGGTCTACAGAGGAGACGAGAGCGAAATGTTCGCACGGAAAAACATTTCAAACAATAACGTAAGTCAAGGACAGGGCCTCTTGGGCAATGTCTCATAGAAGGGAGGTTACAAGCTCAGCATGCATGAAACATATTGATTTAACACCTTTACAGTTTCTTAAGTTTTACTTTTGTAACTCAATTTACAGTTTAAGAGATTGCTAACTGCCTTAATAATGTCTCCGGGGTCTTCCACCTCACTCAGAAGAGGCGGTCCAGAGTTCCAGACTGAGGTCTGGCTGGATTAACTATTACCCCCTCCTCCCAAGGCAAGAGGGAATAAAATTGCCCTGCAGTAATTGGCACTATTAAAATTTTATGGTGCCCCAGGGAAGGGTTAGGCCTGTCCTGCCAATTGCATTGTTGACAATGTCTCTGTTGGCTATGTATCTGGAGATGGGTGCGTGGGGAGCAGTAGTTTAGTGAATTTGTGACATATTGTAAAGCAGAGACCTTATCATCACTTCTGGGAAGATAATAAGCAAATGAAATCAGGACTCTCCCCTCCCATCCCCCTCCTCTTCCTCCCCCCACCCCCATCCCCATCCCCCCACTCTACCCCTGGCAGCCCAGTGGGGAAAACATCACTCTGAGACAATAATACTCTCCTTCTCTGTGCTTCGGAAACTTGTACTGGGAGCAATTGCAGATAACTTATAACATCCCACAACCACTCACAAAAAGCCAATCAGGTCAATGCTGCTTTTTAGAACATTGGTGTGCCAAGTATTAGCTGCCTATTTGTAATCTGGATTTTAAGGGTTTGGGAAAGTTTAAACCCCTCTCTCATTCCCATAGTGATCATCTTTAAAACCTCCAAAGGTGTAATATTTAAATGTTAGCTTCCAACAGGCACCGCTGGGACGTAGATGGTATTTAACATTCCTCTTCACTCTTTAAGATTAGCCAAATTCCTTGGATGTCTGATGGAATTTTTGAAAGGATAAGATGTTTTTAAGTAATGAATTTATTTCTCAATATCCTTTTATAATCCTTTACTGACTCAGGCTATCAATGCAATTATTTTTTTTTTATAAAAACAGTTCATTCCATCTTAAAAAAAAAAAAGACCAAAAACTAAAAAGGATGTATTTAAACAATCCAGAATTGAAAACATTTTAAAGCAAAATTGTTAGTGAGGTGCTTGAGCTACGTGGATGTTATAAGCGCAATGAACTAAAAACCAACAAAAACAATCCCTTGGCAGAGTGTAGGCTTCTAAGTACCAAGAGCTGCGATCTCGAGACGGCTGTGGATCTAGGAAGTGATTAAAAGCCACCTTTATCTAGGAAAGCGTGTGCTGTTCTACAGAAGTAGGAACGAAATGACTTTCATTGACCGTCTCTGGTTTAGCCTGGGAGACACGTGAAGAGCACAGCGAGAAAGAAGTTTAGGCTCAAGCCGCGGTACCGGCCCCCCTCCGCTCCCCAGCCTTTCCAGGAATGTTGGAGGCAGCCGCCCCCGAATCAAAAGGAGGTAGGAGTTTAGATCTCAAAATGTAGATGTCACATTTCAGTGCAAACTACTCCCACATTTAGCACTTTATCAGCATGACAAGACGAATCTTTTATCTCCCGTGGGGTGATGGGGGGGGGGGAGCGGCTTGCTGAGGAGATTGTCCTCAATAGATGGGCTGTAAAAGATTTTTAGTGTTCCTGGGCGTCCCACCGAGCGTCCCCCTCCACCCCACCCCCATCCCCCCAGGAGCACAGAGACTTGTGAAAAGTAACGCACAACTGGCCACCAGAATAATTCATTCGCTCTACCTTCCCGGCCGCACCTCCCACTCCTCCTTTTTGTGGCCGTCCTTTCTCTCCGAAAATCTCAGGTTACTTGACTGGGGAGTTCTCAGACCTCCCGTCCCTGCCCAGCCCTCAGCCTCCAATCCGTAAGAGACGCTCAGCCCCAGCAATTGGATTGGGCAGCCTGTCTTGACACAGCTCTGTGCTGAGGGCTTGAGGACGTGTTTCAACAGATGGTTGGGGTTAGTGTGTGTCATCACATTCGAGTGGGGATTAAGAGAAGGAAGGCTGCCCTGCTGGAGCTGTGTGGTCTTCTCCAAGTGAGAGTTGCAGGCACATTCAAGGACTTGGCTTTGGGGAAGAAGAGGAGAAATTCATTTGCAGCGGGCACAAGAAAAGCGATATTTTCCAGGTAAAGTAAAAGACACCAAAACAAATCTCTCTCTCTCTCTCTCTCTCTCTCTCTCTCTCTCTCTCTCTCTCTCTCTCTCTCTCTCTCCCTCTCCCTCTCCCTCTCTCCTCTCTCCTCTCTCCTCTCTCCTCTCCCCCTCTCCCTCTTTCCTTCTCTCTCGCCGTAGTTTGGAATGTAATGCTAGCCCAGCACACTTGTCAAAGCCGGTGCTCGCCGTTCCATCAATGCTGCTATTGTACGGCTGACAGATAACAGTGCACACAGCTCCGGCTTGGCTGTCTTTGTAGCGCTAACGCTTCTCGAGCGTGGCTTTTGAAGGTGTAGCGAAGAAACTGTCTTTAGGAGCCCGGGTACCCATGAGATCCCCGGTACAGGCGCGGAACAGTAGGTGTAAATTGCTCGCCAAGGATGGACAAGGCCAAGAAAGCGTTAGCTTTAGCTTTCACCCTTAAGAGTTCACTTTGAAGCTGTTGCGTTCTCCTACTCAGTACGTAAAAATTCTTTTAAAGGCTCTTTGACTGGCTTGCTGGCAGAGTCAGAAACGCTTTGTTAAGGATTTGTGCAAGGTAGATTGGGTCGATTTGTGATGGAGCCGGGGGGGGGGGGGGGGTTTCTAATCATTTTTGGAGGCTGACTAAAGTCTGGGAACTCCTTGAAAAAAAAAGAGCTGGCTACCCTCGGTGCAGCGTTTAGGTCGGCTCTGAAACAAAAATGCTTAGAGCTGGAAGAATAGCCTAAAAGGGGAGGTTAAAGGAAATCGCTCTTTAACATATCCCGGTTGCAGCTGCAGCGAGAGCAGATGGAGGTAATTCACTTGCAGATCTGTGTGTGAGTTTTACAAGTCAGGGGACACTCAAGTAGCGAGTCTGGGATGGATCATTAAAGTCACTGCATTTATAGGCTTTAAACGGTGTTAATTAAATGTAAATAGATGTTCAGCCTGGGTTATAAACAAATAAACAAGAAGGTTTTAATTACAAATTAGTCATTGGAAATTAATGGTCATCCGGGTGCCGAGCAACAGTAAGTGAGCTGTCATCTGATGTGTGGCTAAGGGCTCTGCCAAAATCACCCACCAGGATTTAATTGAATGGAATATATAACAAGGGACATTAGACTCTACGTCTTCTGGCATTTAAAAAAGGGCCTTTCAAATGGTGGCCTTATTTTTCGAGGGATTAAAATGGTATTTTTATTTTTCAAGTACTCGAACAAGATGGGTGAGTCTGGGTTACTTCTTTTACTGAACTGAGAGGCTGACTTCTTTCTGAGAAACTGTGGGTGAAGCTGCTCCTACAGGGAGCTCCTTACCCTCTGCAGGTGAGAGGCTTCTGTACATGGCACTGCCTCTGGACTGTTCCAAAGTAGGAGCTGTGTAGTAGGCAGAATCATAGGCTAAATGCCTGGGACTCTGCTTTGATTGCTCAGCGGCATCAAGACTCTAACATTCTGCTTCAAGTTGCCTTGTTGTAGCCATAGAGCAGACTTTTGAAGAAAAAAAAAAGTTTTTTGTTTTTTTTTTTTAAAGTTAGGACTAAAACAATATACCAGTATGGTGTTGAGATGTTGTTCAGAATGTCCTGTGGCCAAGGTTTGGACACCATCAGTGAAAAAAAAAATATTCTTCCATCAGGGCATTATCTGAGTCCCAATATTACATAACCGACGTGAAGTAGGACTTAGTTCATAAGCTGAAGTCGCTTGGAATTCCATTCATTCCGTGCTGGTTTTGCTGAGGAACCGAGGTTACAAAAAGTGAAAAGAGAAAGGGAGACTGATCTATCCCATCAGAGAGCACGGAGCAGGTACGGAGCTAAGAGAGTGGGCCATCTGCTACCTTTGTAGCGTTATTTCGGTAGCGTTATTTCAGGACAGCATAAAGTCGTCTGGATGGGCTGAGCATTCTACCAAAGGCACTGACAAGGGTCTGCTCACGAATGGATGCCCCACAGGAGCCTGTGTCCCTTGTGCTGTGCTGGGTACTGACCACAGAGTTGCCTGGTTAAGGCGTAGATAATATGGCAGATGCCCATTCTCCCATGCAAAGAAGCATTTGTGCCAACAAGACCTTGAGTGTTGGGACATAGTAAATTTGCGTCTTGAAGACACAAACTTGTGTTTTTGTCTCCCTAACAAAGCAGTGTAAAATAACTCAGTCAAAAGACGGCACCCACAGGGCAATCCCAGCTTCTTGTCAAAATCCGGATCTACCCATTCCAGATGGCAAACATCGAGAGACTTATTTGTGGTAACTTCTGCAGACCTCAGTTTGACATTTGGTTTTCTCCTGGCAGCATCGTGCTCCCAACACATGAAGTTCCTGTCAGCACTCTGACAGCTGTGGAAGTGTTCGAACACACAGGGGTCCCTCTCGGGGAGCCGAGTGGGGTTCTATGTGTCCTGTGGCTGTGTCCTTCTGTCTAGATTTGAATTAAGGTGACGTGTCTGAGAGATGACTGGAAAGCTCGATTCACGAACGTTACCAAACTTATATTGTGGCAGAGGGGGTTACTGAGAGGCATTAATCAAGATGATGCAGGGCAGGTTGAATGGGGACCTTCATCAAGATACTAAAAGGAGTATCTGTATTCTCTTTCCTTCTGGGGAACTTGAAGGACCACCAGACAGATTGCTGTAGCCATTTCCGTTGTCACGGTGCAGCCAAGTGGCAAGTGCGACACTTTTCCTTCCCTAACTTCCTGTGTAGAGAACAATGTTTGGGATTTGGAACCTCTCTGCTCTTTCAGTTCATAAAACAGTGTTTCTAGTACTGAGATATGCAGAATATCAGATCTCCCTAACCTTCTTTGCCATGTGAACCAGGCCACCTTATGGGTCCAGTCAGGACATCTGGTGCTTTTTTCTGCATGCAAAACTGTGCAGAGCGCAGAGGGAATGTAAGGGGATTTCAGTTTTATAAGCTGTTCTAATTATTTGTATTTTTATCATTATTGGTATTGGGAGGAAGAGGCTCACGTGTAAAATTAAGTATGAGTCCATATGACGAACTCACCTTTATGTTAGCTCCATGGGAAAAAAAACGTAAGAAGGTATTTTTGCAGGAAAAAAAATCCCTGAAAATATGTTTCCTGTTTAAAAATATTTTCAATTCGGTCTCACTATGCTGGGGAGGAAGGGGAAAAGCTCACGAACTCCCCCTCAGCCTCTTCCCTCCACCTCAATATTTTCCTCTCCCGTACAGTCAATCTGTCATCAAATCCTATGAGTCCTTCCTTTAAAATATCTTCCACATCTGGCCAGCAGCTACTGCCCCAGTGCAATGGTTCTCTTCCACATGGGCTGTGGCAGCGGTCTCCCAGCTGGTCCCCTTTGTCTCCGCTTGCCTCTGTTTGTGACTGAACTGGAGACTGAAGCCAAGGCCTCATGCACATACAGCCACATACATGTTCTTCCACTGACCCACACCTGCCCATGCTGACCCACGCGTGTTTAGCCTCAGCTTTCCAGCCATATTCCCATCCTATCCAGTTAAGTGACCAGGTTAGTGTCCCCATCTTCTAGGTCCGTTTGTCCTCGTGACTCATATTCTAGCTTGTGGAGTGGGAAATGAGCTCATAGCACGTATGCTGTATGTCTGGGGACCTAGGACTAGAACCCACAGCCTTCACGCGCTAAGGAAGTGTTTTCCACCGATTCTCCCTTTATAAGCCTGTATGTGAAAAGGGATAATTTCGCTCATCCTCGCCTGTTTACTCATCTTTCGGAGATTTAGCTTGATCTCGACAACCTCCCATAGGCCCCCTACCTGTCACACGGGTGGTGCCCTTCTCTGGATGCTGGTCCTTAGCTAGCGAGTTATGGATTGTGCCTAGCGTAATTGCTTTATTTCATTTCCTGCTTTGTGGTTTGCTTATTTTACCTGCTGACTGCAGGTAAGATGACAGAGACTAGCCTGTTTTACGGTCATCTCCACAGAAGTCATAAATAAATATGTGTTCACTAACTCACAGAGATACTCAAACATTGAAGATACTTTCTAGAAAGCCCCTTCAGAGTCATTAATCGACTCTTTTTTTTTTCTTTGTTTTGTTTTTCGAGATAAGGTCTCTCTGTGTAGCCCCGACTGTCTTGGAACTCACTATGTAGACCAGGCTGGCCTTGAACTCAGAGAGATTCGCTTGCTTCTGCCTCCCAAGTGCTGGGATTAAAGGCATGTGCCACCCAGCTATTAAATCAACTATTTAAAAGCTATTACCTGGCTAATAAATCAACGCTTTGTGCTTCCTTCTCATCCATCCATAACTGAAGAGGAGCAATGATGGAATTCAATTGGTTTTATTTTCCAAACCCTTAGGGGAAGCACCACTTTTAGTTAAAACATGAAATTATTGTTCCAAATCAAGATTGAGCGGTAGATGAAATTCCCATCTATTTCTACATTCCACAATGACTCTCATAGGAGTTACACCTATCACCTGCCCTTGTATCAGTTAAAATGTCAGTGATGGCCATAGATCTGGATAGCCCAAGACTGTATTCTAATCCAGAGAAGATTTTGGTTCTTTGCTTGTTTGTTTGTTTGTTTGTTTTTGTTTTGTTTTTTGTTTTTGTTTTTCAAGACACGGTTTCTCTGTGGCTTTGGAGCCTGTCCTGGAACTAGCTCTTGTAGACCAGTCTGGTCTCGAACTCAGAGAGATCTGCCTGCCTCTGTCTCCCTAGTGCCGGGATTAAAGGGGTGCACCACCACTGCCCGGCTCAAGATTTTACTTATTTATGTGGCCTTGAACAGAGGGTTAAACAATGGTGGCTTGGGTATCTGTAAGATGGATATAGGGGTACTTACCTTAGAGTGTTGTGAATAAAATATCCCATGTATGTATATCACTGCATGTCTAATAGTAAATAAATTAGTAACCATGGGAAGTGACAGCTACATTCATGGATCTAGGTCTACAACATAGGAATGAGCTCATCTTTGCCATGCCAATCATTCCTGCTATCTAGTCATGTGACCTAATCATTTAGCATTTCCTAAAGCA